GAAAATGTTAACATTAAGAATGTTATAGCATTATTTTAGTTTATAGCACTATTTTTATGAATTTAATTATATGAAAAGGAACACAATGTTATATACAATACATTACATAACTTTTTTATAAATGTAGAATCCATATAGAAACATTTCAGAAATTATGTTGTATGGTACATTTGAGTAATACAAAAAATAATTTTTTTTTTTTCCTTATGTGTTTTACATACAAAAATGTATGTAATACATGTATACATACCCAAGTAACACAGTCTGGCTATATTTGCTGCGACAGCAAAAATGTAGTTAGTACAACGTTCTGCTAGCCTTAATTACAGCTATTTGGCAGCAAATGTTATTTTGCTAAACTTTTAACTGCAAAAGCGCTGTGACAACTAATAAAAAAGTCAAAATGCTGCCACAGTTTTTTTAACTGTATTTTTAACCTATTTTAACTGTATTAATAGCTGTAAAGTCGCTGTGACAGCTATCAGAAAAATCAAAACTAGCCGCAGCCATTTTAACTGCATTAATTAGTATGAAGTCGCTGTGACAGCAATAATAAAAGCCAAAATCCAGCTACAGTTATTTCAGTTGTATTAATTGATATAAAGTCGCTGTAACAGCAATAACAAAAGCCAAAATTTAACCACAGCTATTTTAGCTGTATGAATAGTTGTAAAAGCATTATGATAACTATAAAGAAAAGTCAAAACCTCAGCCATTTTATTACTTTTGGGATTAAAAAGTGAATAAGTGACAAGTTTTCAAAATGAAAAAAAGACTATTGACCGACTTGCAAAAGTTTAGAAAATTTGGGAAGTTTATTATGCACGTACACCGTAAATTGTTACCACTCATACGCATGAATAAAAGCTAAAATATAGCCAAAATAGCTGTAATCTGGCTGTAATTTGTATGTCACAGCAAAAGCAGAGTAACTTGACTATCAGTTTTATATTAAATTTAGCATGTATCAGCGATAGTCAAGCGGACCTATGCGTTCATTTATACGGCTTTAATATTAATACTTAAAAATCTATGTGTAGTTCTGTAATCAGTCTCTTATGAATTTACGTCCGCGCTTGTATACTTATAATATACTTTATAAATGGTAATAATTTGTAATGATTAATTAATCTTTAAATTTGATCTAAGTTTAATGAGGCGAATGTTCCGGGATGTCATAGGTTCAATACCAGTTGAAGTAAAAATTAAAAAGAAATTTTTTTTTCAATATTTTTACGTAATTTTACTGCCACTGCTGTAATGTGGCTACGCCAACTTTTTTACGGCAAAACAATTGTGCAGCCAAATGGCTACGATATAGTTTTTAAAGTCTAAAAATGTCTTATTTTTGCTGCTACAATTTTGTCAAAACATTACAATGACGTTGTGGCAGTAGCTGTGCTAGACAAAAATGCTGCGGTTTAAGTTGCGACAACGTTATCGCAGACGTTTTAAAGTTTTATGTGTTATTTGGGAAGCCTGTTTTACATTTATCAGTTAAACCGGCATAAAATCAACTCACATTACCATACTAACATAGATCAAGGTTGTGATATGCAAAACAAAAACACATAGTAAAAAAATGATAATTTTAAGTAAAGTGTATAAGAAATCTACATAACAAAGAATATATTTGTTGAGTATAATAATATTAATTGCCAATTAATTTGTATTTTACTATTTTTTGTTCATAAAAAAATTCTTCTCAGTCTTGAGATAGTCATTCGCAAAATTAATCTAGAAAATTTGCAAAATCTTCAGTGTGTCAAAATCTGTGGTTAGAATAAAAGAAAGTTCGCGGAAAAGAAATACAAAGATGCCGTTTATACCTCTCCCTCATCACAATTATTCCCTCTCTTGTCTTCATATTTTTTGTAGGTGATAATTCATTACAACATCGCGATTCAGCGCCGGTAAGGTAAAAGTGGGGGGGACTCACTCTCACTGCACTCGACCGTTTCTCTCTCTCTCTCTCTCTCTCTCGCCAATTCGTTCGTAAGATTACTCGCGGGAGCGTACCTTTCGTATTTGTCAAACTCGCGAGTGGCAAAGCCGAGAGTACACAGCCGAGTGTTGTGTATGACGGTAGTGAACTTTACGAACATTTTCTGTCGTCAGATTTAACGGGAAAATTCACAACCATGGACAACAACGTGAAAAACTACGTTAATTTTCAAGCGGAAGTTACCTGTGACCTGGACTATGTACCTTCCGCTATTCAGCTCGTAGAAAGTAAGTCTTGACAAACAAACCCAGAAATCGACGCGTAATGATTCAGTGAAAGTCTAGATGTTATTAAAATTAAAACTCTCTTTTGAAAGAAAAAGTATAAAATATAAGATTATTAAGCAAGAAATAAATAAGATTCGCAAAATAGGGCAATAAAATGATTTTCTACTTACAAAAATAATTCAATAATAATTATAACATAGCAATCATTTTTACTAGTAATTTTTAGTAATAAATTTCGTGATTATTAAAATATTAATTTGCAAGAACGACTTTACTGTCATTTTAATACTTTTATGAAATGTGTGATACGTGTATGAATTTTATTGTCAAACGGCTATTGGTTGACCCAATTTTCTCGATGACCTTGATTACTAACCCACTTAACGCCAATCCTTTATCACGAAACTATCGATTGCAATTCAGCAACGAATTAAATTGCTCGACCCGAGCTTGCCCGGGATACTGTTACGAAGAACTATAGTAGAAAGTGAGTTACGTGTCTAGCAAGGGTTCCAAGTTTGATGCAAACGAAAATCGCGTAATAAAAATATCAGTGCATTAAACTAAAAATTTAAAATTTGTGATATTTTTATCTTTTGATACCGCTGCAAATAAAATGCGCAAGATTGGCATAAGAAATATTCATATGAGCATTGCACAAAAAGTAACTAAATATAACTAAATGTAACTAAAATAAAAAAAAAGACAATTATACAATACCGTTACAAAAATATTTTTTTGAAGAGAATAATAAAAATATTATTAAATAATCTTTATTAAAAGAAAAACTTTTTGAGATCACGACAAAAAGTAAATAGTTAGCAAAATATGCGTCGAATTCTTTTGAGATTGCAGATAAAATATAACAGTATTACAAAATACTGCATGATCATTCTTTTTTATATTGTACGTAAGACTATGCGCGCTTGCATCGAGCAACGTAAGTGCATTGGTGAAAGTTGCGCTCAAGTTCGCATTATACCGAACCTTATATGTATGTGCGCGATATACATGCGAACTGAACATGCTCGAAGATCTTGGAAATATACTCGAAGGCCGTAACGTATGCAAATAATAATCTTTATTAATTCGTACATCTATAATATATTTGTCATGTATTTTTATATTATTCTACATATTTTACGCAATTGAAAAATGCGCTTTACATTTACGTTTCTTTGAATCTATAAACATTTGAGAAATTTGGTTATATTATAACCAATGTTATAATATTTGTATTTTTATGTTATTCTACATATTTTGGTTATATTATAACCAAATTTCTCAAATGTTTATAGATTCAAAGGAACGTAAATGTAAAGCGCATTTTTCAATTGCGTAAAATATATAGAATAACATAAAAATACATTATGACAAACAAAAATTATTACAGACATCTACAGATTCTTTTATCTGGCATTTTCACACCATACTGACATCACACATTTCATAAAATGTATTGCTCACGTCGTAGCCGGCAAGTTTTATAGCAAGTGCATTCCTCGTATATTTCTTACAAAAATAAGCTATTGATAATAAATTAAACAAAGAATTTTTGCAGACTATGCCAATGTTTGTTAAATAACTATATAATTGGCAAACAATAGTTTCTATTTAATTAGTTAAGTTTGTTAAGCGAGAAGATAAAAAGTAACTGCTAACTTTTGATAAGCGATTTACGATTCCATCATGGTACTACGATTTTAACATGTAATATAAGTTAATATAATCCTTTATTTATATAATCCTATATTTATAAATAATAATTAGATTCAATTTTTAATTTACAATATACAACATATATAATCTTTCATTCCTGTACAAAGCATTGTATGAAAATGACGTTCAGCTATTTTTAATCAATTTCTTTTCATTGTCTTTAGAGTACCACTTCTTGGTTATTAATCGTACAGAAAATTCTTAGAAAATACTTACGCGATAACATTATTTAAAGAGATTAGCAATTAATGATATTTTTGTCGGAAGTGATTGCGATAAGCTTGTTACGTTGGAAGAAATTTAAAATCTGCCTTTTGTTTTTTATCATTATTACTCGTGGCGTGATAAGATATAATAATAAATATCAACAGAATGAGATAATAGCTTACAGGAAATTTACGTAATAATTTGATTTACGTTTCCCATACATATTACTGACAAGATATTTTGTTTCTGTTAAAAAATTCTAAAAAATTCTAAAAAATTCTTCTAAGAAATTCTTCTAAAAAATTTAAATAAAAATATGTATTACTATATTTAACATATTAATATTATATTTAATATTTATATAAATTGTACTATAAGAATGTCTATAATAATTTTTAACTGTTATAGTGTATTTCTGTATTTTATGTTTTAAATTAGAAACAATGACTAAAAAATGATTATTTTAAGAATAAATTTAAACAAAAAAGCAAAATTAAATTGTCAAATACTTATATATAAAATAGATGATGATTGTTGTTTGTTGGTCTTTTTTATTATTAGTCGTCTTTTCTTTTTGCAGGTTTGAATACATTCGGAATCGGATTGCTAAGTGTTGGATCAATATTTTCAATCCTCACAATATACTTTGCAGTAGATGCCTGTCACAATATTATTTCCCAAAAAGATTCGAAATTCTACAAAACAAACGCAATCATGATTTTGTCGGTGTATCCAATCGCGAGTGTTTGCAGTCTTACAGCTATTGCAATACCAAGGTAAAAAGCAAAGGTCTATTGCAGCTATCTGACGGTATCGAAATAACAGGAGAAATCTGTCGGTTTCACCTGCCGGCTAAGTGTAAAATAAAAACACATGTACAGAAAGACTTTCTGTCTTTCATTTCATACACTTAAAGCTCATTTTAGACATAATCGTACAAATCTCATGTTTACGTAATGATTTCAATTTATAATTCCATTATCTCCGAATTCCTATCACACTGACACGTGTCTCGTTAAGTACCACATAAATAACGTTCGCTCAATTTTTCGACAGAGGCCAGCTACTATCGGAGGCGGTAACTCAAATTTTTCTAACAATCTCTCTTTATCGGCTGTATCTGCTCTTGCTGGACGTCGGTCGCCGAAAGATCAGCGAGACGCCGGCACTGATGCTACGAGTCGGGCCTTGTTGCTGCTGGCCCTGTCTGCCCTTTCCGAACCTCCAAATGACCGACACCAATTTGTCTTGGCTAGGAATCCTGGCCTTACAGTTTCCTATCGTCCAGGTAAAAAATCTCTCCCCGCCTCCTTTTCCCTGTTCCGTTCCTTTTCACGCTTCAATTAACGCTCCTCTCACACTAAATAATGATTATAATTGGCTCTCAAGCTGATTAAAATTTAAAAGAACTAATATTGTTGATCACCTTACATTAAATTAAATTTTCATAATGCAGAAAATATAATGTGTAATTAAAATGTCTAAAAAAATCTTGTATAATACAGTCACGATCGCGTTAATTATTATTAAGATAAAACGCGTGTTACACATTAATTTTAAGCCTTTGCTCGTAAGTATTTTCCACATAATTAAAGAGAAGAGAATTTCTGATATACAGAGCAGTCCACTCAATTAAAACATTTCTCAATTAATACTATGTAAATATTTACATAATTTATTTGTTGAAGAAATAAGAAACCTGGAAAATATACTCATTATGCTAAAATTAACAGATCATTCTGAAGAATAAAATTTCTGATGATAAATATTAAATATTAAAAATATTTATGTATTAATATTTTTAAAATAATTTTAATATATAATCTTAATTTATATATATAATATATTTTATTTAAAATATTTTAACTAAATATTCTGATATATCGTAACTCTTAAAAATTTGAATCTAAATGCTCATATATTTCAGAGTTTTCTCTACCTCATATTCCTCTTTATGGCGGCTGAGGAGCCGATACTTGCTACACAATACAGCGTATACCTTCAGCCGATCATGGTAATTAGCATACTTTTGGGAATCTACAGTCTAACTGTTGCCACAAAGACTCTACATGCAGTAGCTCCAGGTAATAAATACGTGTATTTATTCAAGGATCTTGTCATTTACACAATAAGTCAAATAAGTCATACCGAGTTTAAGAAACTTACTTATTAATTACAATTTGTGCGTTAGAAAAAAAATTTTCAAAATCGGATCTAGCACACATTTATCACCGAAAACCTGATTTTCCTAAACTGTGACATTAAAAAGATAAAAACTTTTAATTGATATTTTTTTTATTTCAGAGGCTAAATTGCATTATAAGACCTTGGTGTCACAATTAGTGCTACTATTCTCCAAACTACAGTTGGGTATCATCAAAGGTCTACCTGCCACAGGCTTGTTTCCGTGCAATCCTCCCCTCAACCCAGCAATTTATGCTAATGGTAACATATATGCTGTCATTTTAATATTTTAATGTTTTATATTGCTCTGCGTAACAGAGACAATTAAAATATAAATAATTTCATATTCTTCCGAGGATAAATAAATTGTTGCTTATCTGCACTGATTATATTTTGTACACCGCGTTTATCATTTAATTTAGTGTGGTGTCATATTCCGACAAGGACTGATAAAAAAGCAACCGTACGGATAATTTCACGGTTCGTCTTCAGACAACATGATAAGATTGTTCATCCGAATTTAGAATACGTTTCTCCTTTTCATTCCAACCTCGACCCACAACCGAATGTAACAAAGAAACTCGTTTCACAGAAGAAAGAGATGTCACGCAGCATCCGCGAGCGTCATAAAAATTCATCCGTTACACACACGTGTCGTGAATTAATTTTCTCTGCTCCCGAAGCAAACCGTGAGGCGGGATATCACTTTATGTGACAAAAAAAATCCTTTGTACTATTTTTCTTTGTCACATGTATATCTTAAATATTTTTTAAATATTTTTAATTAATACGCATATCAGTTTTAATTGAAAAATATATTTTCAAATTGTTTCAAATTAATTTTTTATGTACATTTAAATATAAATTAAGATAATACAATACTCTCTACATATAAATATAGAAATATACATTTCAATTGATAATAAATTAATCAGAAATAAAGTTTTAATCATGACGTGACTAATAAACGCGATAGATAAAAGTTTTATTTCATGATGTTTTCAGTGACGTACAACGCGTTAATGCTAGTGGAGATGCTGCTACTTTGCTACGCCGCGAGACACGTGTATTACGTCGACCTAGAGAAAAATCAAGAAACGGATACGACAGATCGAGTGGCGCGGATATCGGGTCAGGCAGTAGACCCGCCGAACAACGACAGCAATAAGCAGTTTTCAGCTACAGTGTGAAATTTCGAATTGACGACTCATTGGAGTATTATCAATTATTTTGTGAAGAAACTATCATCACACAGTGACGAATTCGTATTTCCTGAATCGTGTGAGGGACGCCTGACATCTTAAACGGGAAATACATTGATCGATGTGAGTGAAATAAGATTGCGTGGAGGATATATATTGGTGTCGAGATACTTCATCCTTCGGTTTTTTTAAATCTCTTCTATATCACAGATATTTCTCTAGAAATATTATATAAATTATGACTTATGCAATATGCTTGAAAGTGCGACATATATCTTTCGATTCCAAAGAGATTCCAAAAATATTAATTTATGCTATAAGGTGCTAAACAGAACAAGATTTGTAACGATAAAAGAGAAAGAAAACGTCGCAGCTCAACTTAAAGTTACAAGTTTTATTACTTAAAACGATATTAAAAAAAATGATTTAAGACTGACTTCGAAAATTTCGATTTTTTAGTAGGCGTTCTCGTAACTTTGTGACGTGTTATCAATTTCTATCTTTTGCCTTTCACTGTCTATTTTTCATGTTTTTAATTATTATTGCACATTGACAATGATTCTTGTAATCATTCATTATGCACTTTTTATGTTTTTACTATTCTTTATTTTTCAATGTTTATTTTTTTAATCATTATTGTACGCGCTTTAATTTAATTTTTAGAACACATGTTTAGCAAAGCATTATGTAAAAATATTACAAAATGTTAATGTAGCAGGACATATAGAATCTAAATTCTATTTTTAAATGTAGTTCCTTATGAATAATGTTTGTTAGAAAATGTGACAATGTATACTAAACGTACGAGTAAACGTATGTAACTCGTATGCATGTAATTGAGGATCTTTTATCTTAAGACTTTTTATTAGTATAAGATTAAAATAAAATTTTTTAATATAAATATAAAACTTATTTCCGAAAATGTTAAAATTAAATTCAATTTTTTTTCAATTTTTTATAGCATAAAAAATAAAAATGTGGTTTAGCAAACTTAATAATGCACAGACTTAAATGTACACGTAAAGTTATTCGCTTTTACTACAAATATTTTAATCCTCATTGAATGTATACGTAAAGGGTTTGAAGCTAAAAAATAAACGTCGATCGTGGGGGATATCATTGGCGACGAAACACACAACAGGACAGAATTGTTAGGTTACAAAGACAAGCCGCTCTTCGTGGTTTTCATCCCTTTTACACCATCATTCTTCTACGTCCACTCTCTACGACAGGACAGACGATTACATCTCGCGTTCGAGCAAAGAAAAAAAATTGAACAAGAAATGTTACGGGGTACCATATGCTCCCTCATTTTTCGGGTGATTTCAGAGGACCGCTCACTGCCTACCTGCGACCTGATGCCCACCGAAACTATAAAACACACTTCTCTATCGCTCCCCCTGCCATCCTCCTGTCCCTTCCTTCCTGAGATGCAACTCGTCGCCCGAGACTCGTCGATCCTCGACCCTCTTCACAGAACGTGATCGTGATCGAGCTTTACAGCCGTAATAGATTTAACAGTTTCTTTGGAGGATTAGCTTAAGAGGAAAAAAGAAAGAAGGCAGAAAAAAGGGGGATGATATTTGCCAAAATTGAATGGATTTTTTTTCTTTTCTTGTTTCCGCATGAATAAATCAGATACTTCTCGGTTTAATTTTGTCGGATTGAAAAGCGATCATTTTTTCAGATTTATACTGCATTTTCGCTAATTATCCATGTGATTATTATTAGTATCAATAATACTCTGATAATCTTTATTGTGTTCTAGAATAACTGCCATAATTCTTACAAGAATAAACTTTCAGAACAATTAGATGACGATATTAATAAAAAAATTTCTCTTAATTTTTATTCATTTTATTCATTTTTTCTTAAAAAAAGTATGATAAGAAGCAAAATAAGAACAAACAAGTTCTTAAAATTAATATGTTTATTTCAATACTTTATTGACACGTAAGAAAAATATAACAATATCTAATGAGCAGAAAATAAAGAAAAGTATGTTTTCATGTATTGATATCTTATCGGTGTAAATTTATCGTTTTTGAAAGAGACTTGCATACCGTGGTCAGCCGGTTGAAAAATCACCGCATCGTAATTCCCAAATTGTCGATCAGTAATCAGCTACGGTGGGACTAATTAAGGTGCGACCCGTGTCTCAAATGGGGCGTCTAAATTGTTTTCTACGCCGTTCATCTCGTTCCCTGACTAGATAACCTTGAGAAAGACAAGAGGCAAAAGGAGAAACTGAACGTTATTTCGCGAACTAATGAGAGCCGGCCTTAGCAGATTTTAACATAATCATCCTTATGATTTATAATAGAAGATCGTTTTTTCCCATACGCATTCTTCTCGCGATGCATCGCGTCATTTCTATCTCTTCTGAGCTCATTAAAGCATATATAGAAGTTTACATATATGAAGATTTATAACATGCGTATAGAATATCTATTAAAAAAACAAAATTAATCTTTTCATTAAATTTGCGTAAAAATTTTGAAAAGTTTTTTAAAGTTATGTATTTAAAGCATTTTTTAATTATTCGATTTAGAATTTTCTCAATGAAATTATTATATTATGTTACAGATATTTTATACAGGGAATATCTGTTAGAAAACGTAAAATTGCTCTCATAGGATTTTCAAATTCTTCAGAAGAAGGAAGAACCGACCCACCCCAGCCATCTGTTGCACGCGCGCGCGCAAGAAATCGGGAAACACTTTTCAAGATCGACATATGGCACGCGGGCGCAAACAGATTTATCTTCAAAGAGAAAATTTTGCTGCCGAAAAATTGAAGGGACGAGAGGAGAAGGAGCATCTTCTATTTTATGAAGAGGCCGGTTTAAGAAAAAAACAAAAAAAGCAACGTAAAAATAAAGAAGATAAGATGATTGAGTTCCTGAAATTGACTGCATAACACTAATCCGTTGAATTCTTTTAAAATTTAGATTGCGTTGTTACAAACATATTATTTTCATACATTATTTTATTATTATTATATCTATATATAATATAAAACAACTATAAGATTAAATTTCCATATAAAATAAAGAAACAATCATAAAATCAAATGTTGTTTAAAATCCATATGTCACATCAGAATTCAAAGAATTATAAGTGATTATTTCATTTAAATTTAATAAAAAAAAATAGCGGCATATGAACATCCGACATTCGATACCATATTTTAATGTACTATATTAATGTATGTATATATAATTCTACCTACACGTGTGTTTTATGTTTCCAACGAAAATAGATTTTACAACCGTTGATCAAGATTTATAGTACCAACCAATAGCGGTCATATAACACTGCATTGACGCAATCGAATACTATTGCAACAGATGCAATGGTATTCGAGCAATGTTGCGTCAATAAATATTTATATATTTGTAGCCACTAGTCGTGCGCAAAAATATTCTAATTAGGAAAGCAATTAATATTTAACGTTACGCGTTCGCACATGTTTACTCAACATTATAAAGTTTATTAGCATCATAAATCTATGATATTTCATTCGAGAAATTGCAACAAGGTTTCTCGCAAGCGCCAGACTGTCGCGTGTTTTGGAATATGTAAATTAAGGTAAACGTTGCCGAAGCGTTTCAGAGAGAGAGAGAAAGAGAGAGAGAGAGAGAGAGAGAGAGAGAGAGAGAGAGAGAGAGAGAGAGAGAGAGAGAGAGAGAGAGAGAGAGAGAGAGAGAGAGAGAGAGAGAGAGAGAGAGAGAG